AAAAAAAAAAAAAAAAAAAAAAAAAAAGGTTGAACCTCAATCTTGAGGGTTCCCAACCGCCTTGCCCCTGGAGCATAGTGAATGAGGTAAATCGCGGAATGTGCTCCAGCAGGCCAGGGAACGAGAGCTTGTCTGTACACTGGTGCCTACAAAAAGTCCAATTCCATATTTCAGGAATCGAACCCTCACACTGCGACTGTCAGCAAGGTTGAGACTACTTCACTCATATCTTTTGCACCACTGAACTATGCCCCAAAGGGCGTCCCAAGTACTTAAATGTATAACTTACGCTTGGGGGGCTAATGTTACATTGCCATCCAAGACACAATCTTGAAGGTACATAAATGGAAAGATAATTTGGACATGACAATTAACCATGACATGACACCTGATGATCTCTCTCTCTCTAAGAGGTATGTCAAATCCTTCACCTAAATCAATATAGGGATATCAAATCTTTCACACAAGCCAATATTCTCTCCATTTGTTTCTCCAAAAGTCGATAGTTGACCTAAGTGTTAAGAGTGCAAGAAGTCATTAGATCATCCCGAATAAAATAAAAAAAGGTTGAACTCCAACCTTGAGTGCTCCCACCGCTTCATCCCTAGAGTTTTGTGAGGAAGGTAAATTGCGGAATGTGTTCCAGCAGGTTAGGGAACAAGAGCTGTCTCTACACTGCGCCTACAAGGAGTCCAGTTCTATGCCTCAGGAATCGAACCCCCACGCTGCGACCACCAACAAGGCGTGAAATAACCTCACTCCCGTCCTTTGCACTACTGGACTATGCCCCGGGGGGTTAGATCATCCCTAATATGGTGGCCTTGCATTTGACATAGTTTTCTAGTGTGCGTAACATACATGTGGGTCGAGGCTTGGCTTCTTTTATTGACGTCGGATTCAGGCAAATCGAATAAAAGAAGTGATTATAAAATCTATAAACCAACACAATATGAATGTATTCCCACAATCGAAAGATTTAACACCAACAAATGTTTAACTCCAATTCAGATGCACGAAGGACACATCACTCTATCGAACTTTCTTTAAATCCATGATTGCCCTGCACTAATCTTCCTTAAAACTCATCTCACCAATTCAACTAAATCATGATTATCCCCTTAACACAAGTCATAAGTAGAGTTTTGAAGGTACTCCTTAGCATAATATTGATTTCACAAAAATAATAAAATTTAATAAAAAGGGAAAATAATTTTGATGGTTCACAAATGATTAATCCTTCTTGTCTAATAACACTATTAAAAAGGAATTGGATTCCTACACTTTTCACAAGGATAATTGCAACAAAAGTTCTAAACCTTTAAAACATAAGTAGACTTTTCTCAAACTTTTAATTCGTTGGAGTTGTCACCCTTGACCTTTCCAAATATTGTAGATGAGGCATTTTTGGACTGTTTCCATCCGAGTGTCTGTTAGTTGACCTCCCAAAAAAAGATTGACCAGTTTTTACCAAAATAAGGGAGGGTAAATTCGTTCATAAACTTAAAATACTAACCTCCAAAGAAATTACTATTTATTTCCCTCCAAATGTAGTAGAGTACACCCTAATAAATTGTCAATTTCTCACTCTTTATCAACATACTGAATTGAAGGTAGAAGAAATGGAAATGCCACCAGTTTGCAGTTGCAGAACCCCTGCTCAGATGAAGACATCGTGGACTAATTTGAACCCAGGCAGATGATTTTTTACCTGTCCACGCGGAATGGATCTACAAGGCTATACATTCTTGTTTAGTGGGATTTCGCAATGTGTTAGAGATCAAGGGAGTTGATACCTGGTCCTCTATGATCGAGGCGAGAGACGAAAGCTGAAATTAGGTAACTCCGTTTGAAACTTCGAATGGAGTTGGTGTATGGAAGATTTGGTTTTTTGGGGTTTTTTTTAGATCTATAATCTTCCTTTTTTGTTGGATTTCATAATTTTATTTGTAATCTGCACTTTACACCCATTAACTTTAGTTACATTATTATGGAAGAAGGATTACATATTCAACAAAAAACCCCTAAAACCCAACACAGATTTATCTGTAGATCCATTTTACAATCATTCCATAGACGAACCCGCAAAACCAAATCATCCATACACCTCCTCCATTCTAACAGAGTTGCCTAATTTCAGCTTCCATCTCTCGCTTCGACCGAAGAAGATTAGGTATTAGCTCCCTTAATTCTGACACATTGGGAGATTCCACCAAAGAAATAATGTACAGTCTTGCAAATCTATTTTCACGTGGACAGGTAAGAAATCGCTTGCCTGGGTTGAAATAAGTCCACGATGTTTTCATCTGAGCAGGGCTCCACAACTGCAAACTGGCATATCCATTTCTTCTACCTTCAATTCAATATGTTGATAAAATAGTGAGAAATTGATAATCTATTACATTTGGAAGGAAATAAACAGTAACTTATTTGGATATTAGTTTTTTGAGTGTATGCATGAATTTATCCTTCCCTATTTTCGTAGAAAGTGGTCAATCTTTTTTTTGGGTGATCAACTAACAGACGTTTGAATGGAAACTATCCAAAAGGGTCTCTCTTGCAACATTTGGAAATGTTAGAGTGACGGTTGCAATAAATCAAAAGTTTGGAGAAAGACTGCTAATGATTTAAAGGTTTAGAGTTTTTGCTGCAATTATTTCCTTTTCACAGTTGACAAGTAATCAAAAAGATAAGTATTTGTAATTAATCTTTAACTAAAAGCCAATGGCACAATGCAACTTGTCTATGCTTCCAAAAATTTCAACCTCTGATTTGTTCCTTGGTCTTCCATTGATTTAATACGTTTATGAAATTTTAAATTTATAAAAGAAAATATTAAAATAAAATTATCCATGACCACTCGACCCTTTATTTAAAATAAAGTTTCTGAAAAATCCAAGTTTCGGAATTCGAATCCCATAATTTGTGTGATGCCAAAACTTTTAAGGATTTAAAGAAACAAAAAAATAAAAATAAAAATGAGATGGGGGGATGGGGATGGGGATGGGGATGGGGGGTCCAGCGCCATTTTTGGCTTCATCCACGCAAAATTGTATGTATGAAACGTATGAAGAATCCGGGGTTGTGTAACTATGAACCTTGTAGCTATCAATATCACACTCTATTCTAAAATTCTATATTTTTATATTTAGACGTATAACACCGAACAAAATTATTAGAAATGTTTGAAAACTTATCATTTATTTTATCTAATTTAACATGTCAAACAAGTAAATGGTTGATTTGATAGGCACGAAATGATATGAAGTTAATTACAACACTAATTGTTAAAAAACAATGACATGCAGTTTCATTTGAAACTCAATGACATAATTAAGGTATACCTGTCAAGTTTTCAACTATGTTACTAGAATTTGATCTACTAATTGCAGTAAAAACCCAAAACAAACACAGCTCGGGCAATAAAAACCCTAACCCAAATTTCTTACTCCCTTTTGGAAATATTACGTGAAGGACTTAGATAACGAGTTATGTTGAGAATTAGAAATTCTAATTCTATATTATTAAGAGCAATAAAATCGTTGTAAAATATAAACATACAAAAGAACATACAAGATTTATGGATGTTCCCTCAACCTGAAACCGCGTTTTCGTCTGCCACTACAATAATTCAATATAATGAAAAAAAATGTTATGAGAGAAAAATCGGACACAATATATTTTTTAACCTATCTCTTGTTTATGATAATTACAAAATTCTAATGAAAACTTTCTATTAAGGTCAATCAACGTACAAATTTCACAAAGCAACAGTAACTGGCCTCCATAACTTAATAAATTATTCAAAATTGTTTTTTGTATACAACATGACTAACACCAGTTTTGGGTTGGTATTGGACATATTGCGTGGAAATTGGATGATGTTGAATAAACAATACTTTCTTGTAGGTCTTGGCATTGGGTGAGTCAGTCCACGTATTTCAATATTGAGAACCACCCATTATGCTTAGAGTATTTCGCAATGAAACCATTCAAGTTTTTGTAAATACTAGAATCAAACCCAAATTCGAACTTTCAGTTCCGATTCGATTTCGATTCTACCCATAACATTTTTTTATACATTTATTTAATAGATATTTCACATATACACCCTTTTGGTACATATACCTAATACGCAACTATTCGAAAATATATGTGCAATGGAGAAAATTCAGTTAAAAAATATTCAAAAAGTAAAATATTGGATACCAAAAGTCACGATAATAGGGAAAAAAATCAAAAATGAAATTATAATTTGAGAAAAAATTACTTTACTTAATAAATCTTATTCAATCTCTAAGAGATGCATGCTAGGTATATAATTTAATTATGAACAATGCTTCAATTCTTATACTTATAAAATGAACTGATATAAAAAATATTAATTATATACATAGCTAACATAGCGTCAAAAAATTACGGTCCACATATTGAACTCGCTCTTTTTAAATAAAAAATAAATATTTTAAAAGAGAATCATGAACTCAAAATAACAAAAAGATACAACTCAGCGCGAGTAATGAATATATCAAATTCAATTGCCATGTATTATGAAAAAATTAAAAAAAAAAATCACTTAAGTTTATTAATGATACAAGAAAGTAAAAAGTTTTAATTGCAAAAAAATGAACGCTTTGATTCATCAACTTATATTACAATCTGTTTGAAATTTTTAATTTATAAAAATCTCAAATTATAAATATTAACATATAATAACCTCTGAAATGCAATAATTTGATGAAAGGTGAGAAGTTAAAAAGTAAGAACCAACCTTATTTTTTAGGATTAGAGTTTAAAGTTTTAGATTAATTACTACCAAAATTAGGATTTTTAGGTTTTATATGTTTTTTCTAGCTTATAAATTATAAATAAAAATTTTTGATAAAAATCGGTTTCATTTGAGTACCCAATATTCTAGTTTAGGAACCAATAATCGAATCTAACCGAACCCAGTTGGTTCTCGATTTTGGTTCCTAAATTATTTTTTCGGGAACTAGATTGGAATCCCGGATTTCAGTTCGATTTCGGTTCAGGAGAATTTGATTCCGGTTAAAGTGCCCAGACCTACTTTCTTGTGTTGTGCTCACCAAAAATCTAATCTTTACTCGATAGAGTTGCACTCTATACTTTGTTATTCTTTTGTTTGTTAGAATAGTCGAATGATGCAATTGGTGCTAGAATTCATTGTGCAAATTTTCTTGTTTGTTAATTCATTGTGTGTCATAAACTGGTGATTATCGCTGGAATACTCCATCGTGACAGAAATTTTATCCTTTGAAATTTTGTTCTTTTCATCACAAAATATAAAGCCCCTTTTTATCTTTTCTTGTGTTCGGTGGTGAGAGGAAGACAATTGACATTTTTTATTTTCTTTTTGTTTTCATATTCAAATTTTGTGTAGATTGTGCCATTGTGGCATGTGAGGGCCCACATGTACAGGGCCCATGAACCTTTAGACTATTAAAGAGCCATTTTGATTGTAGTACAGTCACGCTGAAACCCAAATGTTGGCCCGTTGTATTTTGGGCTCAGTCTTACATGTGAAAGAACTAGTTTCGACCTTATTTCTATTTTTATCATAAACACGGATAGGTACATAAATGTACGAGTTACACTTGTGCTAATGTTACACGAATAATGCTACTTGCCAGAAAATATTTGACATAATGGTTGACATAATAAATATTGGCAAGATATGATTAATTGAAAAAATTGATTGTATTTCAAACAATCCAATGATAGGTAGACACATGACATTATGTCAGCCATTATGTTTATGTAGCATAATTGATGTTACGCCGTATTTCACATAACATAAACTCGGCAAGTCATGGGCCCACAACAACTGAGTAAGCAACCAGTATTCAATTATTGAGGCATCCAAACAATCCCCAACACACAATTTTTAAGGAACATAAATCAATAGTCAATTGCAACATGACAACAAATCATGCCATGACAATGAACACTTGATGGTCTGTCTCTCAAAGAGGTATGTCAAATCTTCACCCAAGACATCGTCTGATCATCCTCGATATGGCGACCTTGCATTCTAATGTAGTGTTTTAGTGTCCGTAACATACATGTAGATCAAGACTTGAATTATTTTAATAACAGCTGGATTCAAAATAAGTTAAAAAATATAATTATGAAATATAGATCATTTACGATGAACCAACACAATAAAAATGTATTCCCTCAATCGAAAATTGAAGATTTGACACCAACAAAATTGTTCAATTCCAATTCTGATGCACCAAGATCGACGCATCACTCTACAGGAGTTTCTTTAAATCCATGATGGCCCTGCACTAAACTTCACTTATGGAAACTCCTTAATGAACTCATCTCACCAATTCAACTCAATCGTGATTATCCAATTAACACCGGTCTTGAGAAGAGGTTTGAAGGTTCTCATTTAATATTGATATAATAAAAATAAAAATATAATAGAAATGGAAAATAATTGTGATGGTCTTTATAAATAATCATTATCTTGTCTAATAAACTATTAAAAAGGAATTTGATACCAACACTCTTTACAAATCGATATTTGATCAAAAAGATAATTATTTCTAATTAAACTTTAACTAAAAGCCAATAGCATAATGCAACTTGTCTATGCTTCCACAAATTTCGACCTCTGATTTGTTCCTTGGTCTAAAAGTATCCAAGACTATGCAACCCTTTATTCGAAATAAAGTTTCATTTTAGACTGAAAAATCCAATTTGCTGAATTCAAATCCCATCATGCAGTATTTCCAAAACTTTAAAGGGTTTAAAGAAGCCAAAAAATAAATAAATATAAAAATAAAATAAAACTGGGGTGTGGTCCAGCGTGATTTTTGGCTCCATCCATGCAAAATTGTATGTATGAAACATATGTTCTTTAATTAATCTTGTAACTGTCAATTTTATTAGAAATTGGAATCATTAATTTATGAAATAAAACTAGAAAATTAGGATGGATTTTGTGTTTGTCTCAATTAATTTATTCATTCTAATTAGTGTTCTTCTAAGTTTCCTCAATGGGCTTTCTTCACATTGGCTTGATTGTTTGTTTAATTGATCATTAACTTAATCCTTAATTGAGTGAAATCTTATATTGAGTATTAAGAATTGGAATGTCTCAAGTGAAGATCCTGTTACACACTGCACATAAGTATGTAGCTTTTATCATCTTTTGGCTTTTGTACTAGAGGAGGTAAGGCATCAATGTCCCATTTCCCATGAAATTTATTTCATAAAAAGCATATGCGGGGTGGGGGTGGGGGGCTTTTGGGGACAAAAAGAATGCAACTCTAAGCAGCCTTACTACGACTCTCTTATTTTGTCTTAAATAGGATTAAATACATATTAATGGTTCCTCTTAAGTCTTATCTTCATTATTGCAATCTAGAAATTCCATTCTAGGTACTCCCCTCTAGTTTGCAGTTGAACATTATTGGTGATAGGTAGCATTACTCGTTCGGAGCACCATAATATTGACATTCAAATGAATAATACTATTTAACATCAATCGATAAAAGTGGAGGTCCACTTTCAATAATTCAATGGAGTTAAAATGCATTTTAACTCATATGACAAGTCCAAGTGGGCTCCACTGTCACCTAAAGTGGTGCTAGATACCGTTATTCCTCTTGAATCTGTTAAGTCTTATCCGGGTAATAATTGTCCATTAAAACAGTTGTAGGCGCAGGCTTAAGGGTAAAAGATTAATTAATGAATAATTGTATCATAAAGAAGAAGCCAAGCACAAGTCATCAATTACAACAAAAAATTGAATGCTTAGGTAATAAGTCAAAGTTTCTTGCAAACGATTGAATGGAATAATCAGAATAAGGATAAAACTGTGAAAAGAATGACAGTGAAACAGAAGACGAACCAACAATTTATGGCTAATAAATAAATTGGCATCTCGTCAAATGACAGTATTTTATTACTTAAAAGGATTATTATTATTATTATTATTTTTTAATTTCTTTTGTTTCTTAACATGCCAAAACTTCTAACAGGTTTCTCAACTCTTGGAAGATGAAGGAGGAGCCTAAGAGGATAATTTTTGGTTCCACTCCAATTATATTACTGCTTATTCTCCCTTTGATTTGTGTTGGTGTTGATTTCGTTTGGGGGAATACTATTCATTTCAAACGATGTAATTCTACTTTTGTTTACATGTTCTCTTATCCTAAAGCTTCAACCATGGCTAACTTCGAATTCTTGGAATTTACAGGGACACAATACTTTTCTAGTTCAGAAACTGATTTCAGTGGAACAGTGAATCCAACAGTCGAAGAGCCCGAGTCCTTGGAATTTCTTTTATCCAGATTAGTCAGAGGTTTGTGATTAGTTTCTCTTTTCGTTTTCAGAATTTAGAAAGATATGTTTACAGATTTTGCTGCACGTAAACAGGAAAAGATCGAAGAAATCTTGAAGCGACTGGCTTTGCATGTGACAAGACTGTTCATTCTGTTGTTTGTGTTGCAAATCAACCTGTAAGGATTTACACCAGCAATATGACAGTATATGTTTTTTCCGATGGAGTCGGGGAACAAGAAACTGTGGTTCGGCCTTATGCAAGACAGGAGGACAATCTTAAGGTTATTACACCGGTCCATATACTAAAAGGAAACGCTACTTCACTGGCTTGTCTTCACAATCACAGTGTTCCGGCTGTTATTTTTTCATCTGGTACGACAGGAAATGTTTTTCACGAAATTAATGAAATCATTATTCCCCTGTTCATCACCTCTAAACATTTCCAATCCCGCGTGCTCTTTATCCTCGAGGATTACAAGCCTTCGTTTATGAGCAAATACGGCAAGGTTATGTCTCATTTGTCCGATTATGTGGTCATGAACCCGGCTGCAAATGGAAGTGTTCATTGCTTTCCAGGATCAGTAATCGGGCTTAAATACCACGACAATTTAGCTTTGAATGCGAGTGACATTCCAGGAGGGCATTCGATGCGTGAATTTAGGCATTTCCTTAGAGAAGCATTTGGTCTGAGGTTCAGGCATGTCAGTCAAATTAAGAAGCCGAGGTTAATGCTTTTATCTCGAAGAAATACTAGAAGGTTCTTGAATGAAAACGAAATGGTTATGATGATGGAAGAATTAGGCTTTCAAGTGATTGTGGTTGCAAGATCAAAGATGATATCGAATTTGAACAAATTTTCCCAACTGATTAACTCGTGTAGCGTCTTGGTGGGAGCACACGGGGCTGGACTTACGAATGAGTTGTTCTTGCCTTCCGGGGCTGTTATGGTGCAAGTAGAATTACTCGGTACAGAATGGCCCTCAAACACCTATTACGGGGATACTGCTCGTCCAATGGGTGTACATTACTTGAGGTACAAGATCGATCCAGAGGAGAGCACACTTTTAAAATTGTATGGAAGAAATCATTCAGTAATAACTGATCCCGGATATCTCTTCAGAAAAGGGGGATACCGTGCAGCCAGGACCGTGTTTCTTGATCAGCAGAACGTGAGGATCAATCTTGCAAGGTTTAGGAACACACTTGTTGAAGCACTTAGTCTTGTTACATACTCGGATTTCTAATTTTGTTTTCATTTTATTAAATATTTATCGAATTCTCTGATATCATAAGATGTGTAGTTTATACTCAAGAACAATGAGGTTGTTGTTCTATTGTCTTTTCAGATAGTAGAACCAACAAGTTACAAATGAACTGAAACTAGAAAGGCAGAACTTCCATCCTATACAATTGTTTTTTCTAATGATCATACAGCTACTCAAAGTACGATTTTCCATTTGATGTCGAGTACCTAATCCTGCAAACTGAGTGGGTATTAAAAATGATCGTAATCTCCTTCTTACCAGTACGAGGGAGAAAAGTTTAGCTGGCTTATTTCGACCTATTCTGCACCACAAACCACAATAAAAATCACAATCTTGAATTGGTATTGGTCCCTTCGACTTAAACTGGCATGTGTATTGCGAGTTATAACTGCAGTAGATAACTATCGGGATCAGTACATAAAATAAATAAATACATATCATAGTAAAGATGTCAAAATTTCCAATTGGAAGTGTGTAAAGGGTAATTCAAAGAGGTTGTCAATTCATAATGCAACTTGTTCTTGCTTTTTCTCATATTTCAATTTTCGATTATCTGAAAATAATACATTGATTGATTGCTTTATGATCTTGAATTTTCCTTCATTTTCAGTAATAAAAACAGGGGAAAGAGGCCCCTCATATTGGAAGCTGAGATTATAGACTTTCAGTTTAGAATCAAATGGTCCATTACTGTTTGATTAGAATTTCATCTTTTCCAACTTTGAAGAGGTCAAAAACCAGACAAAAAAGATTTAAAGTTAATAATAAATTAATGAGGCTGCTGATTTTTGACGCAGCAGAATAAATGCAAAAGATGATTAACATTCCAAAGGCTAGTTGATTAACAATGATACAGAGAATTTCCTTGTATTCTTTATGAATCAAGGGTCCGTTTGGCAGGGTTTTTACAAAGTTAAAAGATCCTTTTGATATAAATATATTATTTTTAGGCTCATTTGGATAATTATCTACGAGTTTGGTAAAATGAATTTTTAGAGAAGGAAGCTCTTTAACAAAAAGCATAAGCAGAAGTCATACCAAACAGACTCATCTTCGACGGCTGCATCAATTTTCCATCAAGGCAAAAACATTTCTCTATCTACCATCAAAATTTGGTTTTCTATACAAGAATTTAAGGAATCTGTGTAGCCCTCTAACGTTGTATCTCCTAGCTGTCAAAATTATTAAATAAAAAATTATTTAATAGTTTATGAAGAGCATGGGAAGTGTAGACATCAAAAACGTCAACTCGGCACTTATTTTTTTTTCCTTTTGATTGTGAAATTCTAACAAAATAAATTTCGTGGAATTGTTTATTCTTTGTAATTCCAAACTTTTCTTGTAAGTTTCTCTAACGCTTCCAGATTGGCTGTTGTTCATAATGATTAAGGGTTTAAATATAATATTTATACTTCAAGCGGATGATATTTTGTAATTTACTTCCTTTAACATATAATTTTGGTTTTGCGATGCCAGAGTGATATGGAAATTAACCAATGAAATGAAATATTCAAAATCAATATTCAGCAATAATGCAACCATTTTAAATTTTTTTTATTTTTTGGTAAACTAAATATTCGACAACAGTATTGAGAGTAACAATGCAACTTAATAAACAGCCACCGTTTGAGCCATATCATTGTAAAAATGAGAATGAAAAATATAGTTATTATGGGCCCCACACAAGAGATAAAAATTCAAATATGGTGGTTTGATATGATGGATAACGATCATATTTTTTATTTTAATTATAATATTGAACAACAATTGAATAGATAATTTTCCCTTTCTTAATAGGTAACTAATCAAATAGAGAAATGCAAGTAACCCATTTTTGCATAGATACCACAATGCAAGTAACCCATTTTCTTAACTCACTCGAACAATTTTTTACCCACTACATGATGATGTGAACCCCCACTCACAAGATTGTGTACATGAAATTAGAACGATAAAATAAAATTATTCAATTATATTAATTTAATACACTAAGAATAAATGTATGACTTTATTCAGTAGAATCACAGGTCAAAATAAAAATAACCTTTTATCTTTGACCCTCGCCCAATCTCACTGTGGGAGTTGCCTATGCCCAAAGTCCTTGAGCCAAATTGTTTAAAGAATCACAAAATTGATTATTGGAATCTCTTACTTGGGTTGTTTCTTAAATAGTTCTAGTTGAGGATATGAGAGAGATAATTGCATAATATATAATAAGTCAAGAGGGCACAATCCAAAAGTTTCATATTTTCTTTGCTTAATCACTAGTTCACAAAGAGATGACCTGTTCAGAGTCGCCTCTCTATAGTTGAATAAGGAATGAAGTAATTATCATAGTTGAAAAGGAAACATAAATAAAAATTGAGTAATACTATTCATAATCGCTCACTATGGCAGTCGTTCTAAATGGCATCTTACATAGCGATTTCTGATTTAATGCATTAATGTTATAGTTTTTTCTTACCTCATTTATCAAATCACTAATTGTCACATATATGTCATGTATGACGACTGCAATAGTGAATGACTGTAAATAGCATTATTCATTCGTTCAATGTTTAGTGAAAATTGCAGGGAAGAACAACTGCTCTAATCCAGAAACTATTTTCAATAGCAGAAAGTTCAAAAATGAAACACTTGAAGAAAACCAGAAACTCCTTCAATATCGAGTTCCAAATACTGCAAACGACTGATTATTAATTTTTTTTCGTAGTCTTCTTACCCGTTCGAGGGAGAAGAAGTTAGGAAGCTTATTTTGACCTGTTCTTCGACCTATTCTTCACCACAGAACACAACAAAAATCGCATTTTTGAAATTGATATTGGTCCCTCTCTTCGACTAGAACTTGGCATGTGAAGTGTATTGCATTTTTACTTGGACTCTGCTACACATACATAGGGGGTACATATGGACACCCTTATGTACCCCCCTATGTACAACAAGATTAATCCTTTTTATTTTGTTAGATATCTATCGGGACCAGTATTCGAAATAAACAGCCCACATTTTCAGTTGGAAGAGTGTAAAGGGCAATTGAAATGTGCTGTCAATTCATAATGCAAGCTTGTTTTCATATTTCATTTTTTGATTATATGGTCTTAATACATTGATTAATTGCTTCATGATTTTGAGTTTTTCTTCAACCTTTTTCATTAAAACCATGGAAAGACTAAAAAGAGCTTCCCTTTATATTGGAAGCTGGCGTTTTAAACTTTTAGTTTAGAATCGAATGGTCCATCAGTGTCTGATTGAATTCCATCTTTCAAAAATTTGAAAGGTCAAAAACCAGACATAAAAGATGAAAAGAACAATAATAAATCAGTGGGGCTGCTGATTTGTGAGCAGCGAAATAAATGCACTCCAAAAGTTAGTTGATTCACATAGAATACAGTGGATTTGTGAGACTTTCTTGCTATTTCGCCCAATTCCTAGGATTCTTTGTAAATCAACAGAGCTTTTACAAAGCCAAAAACTGTTATAATCGGGCCAAATTATTAAAGAACGAGAAAATATGGACAATATGAAAATAATTGATCACAGAGAAAACAAGATTTACGTGGAAATCCAAATTTGAGAAAACCACGAGCAGAGATGGAGAACTCACTATAAATCAATAGTAAGGAGTTATACATGATATCTTTGGACCAATAACTACTTGAACAATTGGTCAATTTCAATATATATTGTACAACTCATATTTATAATCAAATAATCCCTAACATAAGAGAATTAATACATAAAGAGTTTAATATAAGGTGAAATCTCAATACAATGGATAAAACTAATAATGGAGAATTTGAAACGAAACAGAAGTAAAAAAACTACCAAAAAGGGAATCATTCTTCTTATCATTCTTGAACTGATTCAAGATTTCGTCAAGTCTACTACAAAATCCCACTACTACTCCAACAATATTTCCAATCAAAATACTCAATAAGAATTCAGGTCATGAGTAAATTCTAACAATCTCCACCTTGACACGAATTTCATTACAAGAAATAAAACTTAACTCTTAAACTCCAACAGAATTCTCCAAACAATAACATTCCACCAAATTACTCTACCTCTTCCACCATGTCCCTGTCGGACATACTCAACAATTGTGAACTAAATCCAAACCCTGCTTACCAGCAGAATTACCTTGCGCGCCAACCTTATTTGAGTTATCTCGTTCACTTCCAACTACAGCCGAGTCATCAAAACTGCTTGAATCACCATGAACACTTTCAGCTCTATCTAAGTTGTCAAACCTGCTCAAATCACCATAAGCAACACAAACAACCCGATCACAACTAGCTCCACCCAAGCTACTAGAAGATTCTCCAACATTATTGTTCGAATCACCACGAACAACCCGATCACAACTGACTCCACCTGAGTCACTGCTTATCAAATCATAAGCTACAGTTGCATCCAAAGTGATCGTCGAACCTTCCAAAATATATAACAAATCCTTAGTTCCTTACATTGCTTCTCCTTCAGCATCCCCAAAAATAATAATAATAATAATAATAATAATAATAATAAAATAAAATAATCCCCTACCATAACAAAAAAATCTTGTTGTGACCCAAAAGCGGAACTCAAAATTCATACTCTCATCCCTAAAACAATCAACATTGTTCAGACCTTGCTTTAGTAACCTTAGCCCTCTGAAGAACCACCAAAACCTTGGCTCTTACCACTTGTTATAATCGGGCCAAATAATTAAAGAACGAAAAAATATGGACAATATGAAAATAATGGATCACGAATAAAATAAGATTTATGTGGAAACCCAAATTCGGGAAAACTACGGGCAAAGACGGATAATTCACTATAATCAATAGTAAAGAGTTACAAAGGATCCATTTGAACCAGGGGCGGAGCTAGAGAAAATTTTCAGTGTGGGCAAAATTTCAGCGCGGGCACAAATTTTTTATTAAGACAAACATTTATTCCAGTTTTTCTCCCAAAGTGCAAGTTTTCCAATTTTTATGGCCAATGTGCAGGTTTTCTCCCAGAGTTGACTCTACATGGCTCCGCCCATGATTTGAACCAATAACTAATTGAACAATTGATCAATTCAATATGTGTTGTACAACACGTATTTATAACCAAAGAATCTCTAACATACTAGGAGAATTATTACATCAAAAGTTTAATATTAAGTGAAGTCCCAATATAATGGGTAAAACCAATAATGAAAAATTTGAGATGAAATATGAGTTAAAAATCTACCAAAAATGGAATTATTCTCCTTATTCTTCTTGAACTCATTCAAGATTTCTTCAAGTCTACTATAAAATCCCACTACTACTTCAACAGTATTTCCAATCAAAATATTCAACAAAAATTCGGATCACAACCAATTTCTAACCAAAGCTATTTATGAGATTTTGATGTTTTTTGGGTCGTCAAAAATCAACGGAGCTTTTACAAAGCCAATAACTAGACAAGAATTTAAGGAATCTGGGTAGCTGCCGTCTAACGTTGTATCTCCTAGTTGTCAAAAATATTTAATAAACAATTATTTCATAGCATATGAAAGCATGAATGGTGCGGACATCAAAAACGTCAGCCCTGCCCTTATTTTTTTGTTCTCGTGATTGCGAAATTCTAACAAAATAAATTTCGTGGAATTGTTTACTCTTAGTAATTCCAGGCTTTTCTTGTTAGTTTCTCTAATGGTTTTGGACTGGCTGTTGTTCATAGTGATTAAGGTTTTAATCATAATTTTAAACTTCATTTAGATTATACTTTGTAATTTACTTACTTTTACAGATTATTTTGATCTTGAGAAGCTAGAGTGATTGGGAAATTAACCAATAAAACCAAATATTCAGCAAAAATGCAACTATAAAACATTTTTTCTCCCTTTTTTGGTTAATAGGAAACTAATCAAAGAGGGCAATGCAAGTCACCCAATCTTTGTGTAGATACCGAAAATGCCAATTGATTAATTTTGACGAAAGGTAAGTCCGTTGAACCCAACAATGTCCCCGTCCACCTCTTGTAGTGGAAGGTGCCGTCATCCCCGCGATGGAACGGTAGACATCAAGGTTATCCACTTTAATTAAGTCGTTGTAGTATAGACGTAAGGGTCTTCATCTTCTTCACCCCTAATTTTGTCTAAATTTTCATTGCATTATCCTATTCAGTTTGTATTAACCTTCATTGTTAAACACCAAAATCAATTTCCAAGGCAACACCCGTGTGACATAAAACGATTTTGACATGGAAATAACCAATAAGGCCAAGTATTTAACTACAAAACGGAATAAATAATTTTCCCTTTCTTAATAAAAAATTAATTAAATAGAGCAATACAAGTACCCCAATTTTTGCATAGATACCCAAAATGCCAATTAATTTAACTCCATCAAATTTTTACCTACTACATGACGTCGGCCCCAACTCACAAGACCATGTACATAAAATTAAAACAACAAATAAAATTATTCAATTATATTAATCTAATTCAGTATGACTTTATTCAGTAAAATCACAAGTCAAAATAGGAAAATCCTTTTTTCTTTGACCACCGACCATCACACCATGGGAGTTGGCTATGCCCAAAGTCCTGAGCAAGATTCAATTCCCGCAGTTCAAGCAAGTTCAAAGCATCACAATATTGATTATTGAAATCACTTACTTGGGTTGTTTCTTAAATAGTATTTACAGACAAGTTGAGGATAAAAAAGTAATTGCACACTTGCACCAGAAAAAAAGAAGAAGTCAAGAGAGAACAATCTACAAGTTTCATATATTCTTTGCTTAATACCTAGTTAACAAAGAGAGGGCCTTTTCAAAGTCGCCTAACAATTGTTGAATATTAAATGAATTAATTATCAAAGTTAAAAAGGAAACAGAGAAAAATTGGAAAATAAATGAAATCTCATCAGCTGGAAATATTTTAGTCTTCTAAAAAGATTTATCTACTTCATTAGAATTCTTCTCTTGCATATCATACAAGAACTTGTAGCTAGTTCTTAAACTAGTGGAGATGGATAAAGAGCCTAGAAAACTTGTTTTTCATTCGACTCCAGTGATCTTCCTGCTTATCCTTTCTTTGCTTTATTTTGTTCTTTTCTTGGTCAATTTTATTTCGTTTGATCAATGTAAACTTCTACGTTTATTACATATTCTTTTCCAGAATTCAGTTCTTTTTAGTCAATTATGCTGTATGACTAACTCGGGTTGAATCTTTCGATGTTTTATGAAAATGGCAGGGAAGAAAAACACCTCTAATTCAGAAACAATTTTCAATAGCAGAAAGGTCAATAATGAAACACTTGAAGAAAAGCAGAACTCCCTGGATTTTCTGCTTTCAAGCCTCCTAGCAGGTCGGCTATTACCCCACCCCCACCCCCAATTAGTAACACCATATGAATAAAATTGATGCATCTAAACAGGGGGAGATCAAGTGAAGCTCAAAGCCACTGGATTTGCATGTAATACGGCAATTTATTCTGTTCATTGTGTTGCAAATCAACCTGTAAGGATTGACACAAGAACGATGACGGTTTACGTTCCCTCTGATCAGCCTGTGCAAGAAACTGTTATTAAGCCATATGCTAGGCAAGAAGATCATAATCTTCTCAAAATAGTGACACCAGTCAAGATTTTGCACGGGAACACTACGCCACCAGATTGTCAGTACAACCACGAAATCCCTGCTGTGATCTTCTCGTCTAGTGGCTTTGTGGGAAACGTGTTCCATGAAATCAATGAAATCATCATCCCTTTGTATATTACTACTAAAAATTTTCAGTCCCGCATGCTATTCGTCCTTGAGGACTACAACCCATCGTTTCTAAGCAAATATAGCAAGGTAATCTCTCGTTTGTCGTCTTATGAGGTCATGAATCCGGCTGCAAATCAAAGCGTGCACTGTTTTCCTGGAGGTGTAGTTGGACTTAAGTTTCATGGCCATCTGTCTTTGAATTCGAGTGATGTCCCTAAAGGCCATTTGATGCACGACTTAAGACAGTTTCTTCGACAAGCCTATAATCTCAAGTTTAGCCATGTATCTCAGATCAAAAGGCCAACGTTAATGCTTTTATCTCGGAGAACATCAAGAAGATTTTTGAATGAAGATGAAATGGTTGCACTGATGGAAGAGTTAGGCTTTCGAGTAATTGTTGTTGCACGAGCAAAAGTAGTATCGAGTATGAACATATTTGCCAATCTGATAAACTCGTGCAATGTATTCGTAGCAGCACATGGTGCTGGCCTAACAAATGAGTTGTTCTTGCCTGATGGTGCAGTCATGGTTCAAGTTGATCTGCTTGGCCTAGAATGGGCAGGGGCCACCTATTATGGCAACCCAGCTTGTGCAATGGGCGTGCATTACTTGCGATATAAGGTTGAGCCCGAGGAGAGTTCACTTTTGAAAGTCTTTGGACGAAACCATACAGTCATTACCGATCCCAGATCCGTTCATGACCCATTAGGCAAGGAAGCATATCTTAATGGTCAAAATGTAAGAATCAATCTTGCTAGGTTTCGGGAGACATTAGTCGAAGCTCTTAGTCTTGTTGGAGATTCGACTCTATAATTTTACTCGTAAGCGAGGATTCATCGGTTGAGTCAAGCAATCAGGCAAATGTATAAATATGTTGCTCCGAACATATCACGCAAGTATAGAAAACAACTTGACAGCACATTTTCTTTTTGTTGTTGATATCAAAAGATGTAAATGGCTAATGCAGTTATCAATTTTTACAAGTAGTAGTGTAGCAAGCAACTTGTAGAATTATAATGCAATCTTTCTGCAGCATGATTTTGACATACTATTAGTGCCCCGAAAACTGAGGGCAGCAATTAAAGAGAGAAGGGAGTACGATAATAGAGCCCCAAAAACAAAGGACCTCGAAGTTTGTCCTTGGAGTAGGGCGACTCAGAGCTCAAGAGTAGGACAAAAGGCATATTCAATAAATAACTGTCTGTTGGTCGGACGGAGGCGGCTTGGCATTAGGTCTATTGGCATCTAGAAATATTTTGTACTGTCGTCTCATTACGGTCTTTTCGCATCAAGTTTTTAGGTAACAACATTAGATTAAACTTGATTTTTAAGGCTGTACTAGATTTGATACTGATGTTCATACTATAGAACAATTGCCAGTTTATTTTTTTCCCCAACAACACATTCCATTCCCGCCGGCTGAGCATCTTTTTGTTCGTTCTTTAACCAAAGAACCAGCCAAATGGAAACTTCCCGTGGTAGGTGGGAAGATCTAATCCAATTGGAAATGTATAGTTTAGAAGAAAATAACTAAAACTTCCCTGATTCCGTGCACAAAATTGGTTTATATTTTACAACCACAGCCAAAATTTCCTTCCAGTTTGATAATTCTAGTTCGCTTATGTATGAAATTAAGCCGTGATCTCAACTGGAAGAGCAAGGATAAGTAGTATGGAATTAGATATTAAGTTGTAGAGCCTAATTAGTGCCGTTGTACAGAGTCAGTGTTAAGTTGTGGAGTCAAATTGTCGTTGAGCAAGAATAGTTTAGGAATTTAATGCTTGTAATTTCGATTTTGCTCTAATTTAATGATTTAGCCATCATTAAAAAATTTGTATCGCCATTGAAAAGAGAAAGAGAACTTAAAAAAAATAGCAACTGCAATTTTTCTCTTGTAAAATTTTTCCATTATAGTGAATTATGCAGCGACAGACGATGACATAATATGATTGGTTCAAAATTTCTTCGATCAAATAAAAAAAAAATTTCCACTCTCTTTTTGACATCTGATCTATAGATAAACTGTAATGTAACTCGTACAAGCAGCATTATTCTAACAAAAATACCCTTGCTAGCGGCCAGGTACAAGAAACCAAGCACACAAGTCAATACAATAAAAGGTATAAAGAAAAAATAATAAGCAAACAATTAAGAGATCGTTTTCATACATGGTCATGAACAAGAATGGGAAATTAAATTATGCACTTCTGCCCCTGGTATTGAAAAACCAAGGTTTTAGTTTAGAATAATGATACTTGTACATCAGGAGTTACATAATGGTTTACATACAGATAAAATTTCAAATAAAGAGTGGGGAAGTTTTTCTTATTTAGTTAAAGAAATTCTAATCCAATCATATCTCACCATATCAAGTGTATATAAAATATTATATAAATCATTATGTACATATAGCACAACCCATTAATTTATTATCTGTAGACACATTTGATAAGAAAAATAAGATAAACACAAAAGGGACAGGTGAACCCTCATTGAATGAAAATAATGATATATTCGCCATCAACAAATGCAGTCGAAATTGACTTATTAACTTCCAACACTCGATTGTTACAATATTGTCTATCACAACCACATTTCCACTCGAAAGCTTTGAACAATTGTGCGAGAATTTTTGGTTAATTGCATATGAAGTTGATAAAAGAGATACGTGAAATATTTAATGCCTTGGTGGGAGATTTGTTATCTACACAATACACTACAATTCTCCACAGATATGTATAGTAATTTGCCTCACATTGCTTGGCAAAGTTGGAGAAAAAAACAGAAGCCTGTTATTTTGTTCAACTTCATCAGTAATCTGTTTTTTAAGTAACTTCATAATCTAAACAAAGGGAGAATATATATATCTTTTCATCGTCATGGCCAAACTCTCTGTCAAGTCTGCAGATAATAAATGTTCAAACAGTTTAAAGCGAAGGTCTAGCACTGATGAACAAATAGAGATGTACAGAGCAGAAAAAATTTCAGAGAGGTCAAAAAAGGTTCATTTGATTATTTGTGCAAAAACTAAATTGCCATGTAACGAGGAAAAAAAAGTACACGTACTCTGGATCAGGCCATTTCTTCTTGCCACAAACAACATATAACTTGTGTTTTGCTTCTTCAAAGTCATTTTCCCCGTTGAGATCATCAACGAAGATGTTGATCCCCTTAAATTATTGTATGCGGCAACTTATTAACAGCAGCCTTGCTGAATGAAACTTTGCATTTTCTTTTTGCTCAGAAGAAGCAGAGGATAGTAACTCTCTTGTTACGGAAGCTCTCTCAAAAGGATCTTCAAACGGTGATTTTTCAGGCTCAGTCCAACGTACCTTTCTCTACCAACAACCAATCCACACCTTTGACATATACACTGGCAATGTTTCTCTTTGCATTTAGCTCGATATCTTATGTCAGCATGCTTTTCAGTCCCTTTGGCACAGCTCAAAGAGCATTGCTATGGGTTGTGGTTGTTGTTTTACCATATCCAGCATAGCAATCGGCTCTAGAAGTTTAATCAAGGCCTAAAGAAAGAAGTAACAGAAAGAACGTGTGTGGGAGAGATTTATAATTAATCTTGCCAGCCCAACTCACTGAATATTACTTTGTAATTGAAAAATACTGCGTACATGAAAATTTCCAAGTCACTTAAATTTAGGATCAACCGTGCAACATTTTACAAACCACTGCATCAAATAACACTTTCGAAACAGGGGTGACAGCTTTTAAATAATGATTAGAGTTCGAGTTGTCAAGATAATATTCCAAGATGGCTAACAGAGTAGTGGTCGTGGATTCACTAGCTGTTCTTAAAACATTCCACAGTGGCCAACAAAGTCGCCATCCTGGAAAAATATTTAGAAGCTTATATCTGTAACAAACGCTTATTTAAACTTTCATGACAAATGTAACGTTTAACCTTCTCATCTAAAAGCTTGAGTTGTTCCAGAGAGGCCACATGTATTTATTTCAATCTTGTCTCAGTTAACCATCTCATCTCAATGCTTAAACTTTTAGATGAGGTAAATAAAAGTAATGATTATCATGGAAACTTCTTGTTACACTTTTTTCCTCGATGGCTTCAAGGCCAGTTTCCAACCATCAGGGAAGCCCAAATTCCATCTTAGTGAACTTGAAATCATTAAATTTTCGTAATGCATTTCAACTTTTATTTTTGATAAAGGAGTAACAAAATTTGTAACTACTTAGTTTGGCTATACAAACCAACATTAGTAGTTTGGCTATACAAACCAACATTAGGCAGTTCTGTTCTGAGTATATTTAAGAAAGAGCAAAATGCAAAAGGAAACTAATCTTCCAGACTTCCACTTTTTCTTTATACTAAAACCAGTGTCAACATATAGAGCAGCTGCCACTGACTCCAAAATGTCTGCGAGAATTTTTGGTGCCTTCACCAATCCTCCATACACCTGTCTCTTTCTCTTGGTTAACTGATGTTACGAATTCCTCTATCTGGAAAATATACAAAGAAAAATTTCGATAAGACTTTTTAAATTTAATTGGAAATTTTTACTTGGTTTCACAAGATCCACCTTGTTCACGATGCTCAAATGAGAAAAAAACCAAGAAAACATGTATAAAAATTGTTCGTAAATTATTGTTTGATGCATAGAATTAGATACAATCATATCCATCTCCATGTATCTTATGCTTACCCGTTGATTAGGTGGCTCATATGTTTGTATATTGGGGGCTAGTTGATGGAACAGAGGGGGCAGACCCATACCTGCCTGGACCCTTTGCTCCATTAACTAGCCCATTAGGTTAGGCGCAGATAAGTTGGACTGTATGATACAGTATTGAAAGGGTAATTTTATGATTAGGACTTAATTTAAACACTATATTATGACCCTATTCGAAATTAGTGGATTTATTTTCACTGTACAATGGATGTAAGCATATTACCAGCCCACTGAATTTCTTGTGTGTTAATCTTATTGTTCATCTTCTTTTCAATTTTATTATTTACTTTTGCGCAATACTGCCAATGTTTGCCTGCAATAATTTAGTGCCCCTATCATACACTTTTTGCATGTTGCTCAAATGATTGTACCTCGATACCATGAATATTCCTCTCAGACAATTTAGTGCATGTTGAGTACACAATATTAGATTATACTCAACAATATAATGGACAATGGATCTGTAAGTATTATGCTCTAGGTCCAATGGACTTTGGACATAAATATTTTTGATATATAATTAATGCAATTTAAATGGCAGATCTATTATTTAATTAATAGACAATTAAATAAATAATGGAGTCCGTAGATTCAAATCTTCGTAATTTGTAAATTACAAGGAGTTGTAATTGTGAGATACAAATTACACCTGATTGAATCTTAAATCGTCCGTGGTCGTAAGTAATAACGAGATACGGATATTGTTATTATGGATAGACCATCACGTGTAACATTTCTTACTTGTGAAGCGAATAGCTGATTTTACAAGTTGAAGTGTGGTGACACTGAAATGAACACATGAATACTTTGTTATAGAACAAAACATTGGAGACTCGTCGAGAGATTCCACATGAATAACTATCTGAGTGTCAATAGTTAATCTCTAACGTTCGCTAGTGGAATTGATCCTTTGACTTGAGGTTGTCATGGTACCTTATATGAGGATAGTCATACTTTGAGGGTGTTGGATGTTGCTCTGCAAAGGGCCGCTAATACGACATCGTATGGGTACGTCAAGAATCGTCTGAAGGTTGTGATTGATCAATAAATTACTCGTCACTCTTAGATAGTAGGAGATTATGATCTGCGTTTTATTCAATTAAGTCGATGATAAAATCTTAGCCAAGGTGTACTCATAAGTCGAAAAGGAGTTTTCGACTTATATTGACTTAATAGTGGAGTGAAAAATATGATCGATGATCGAGATTAACACACTTCCATATCTCGTAATTGATCGGATCATATTGACGAAGGGATTATAGTTTCACGGTAAAAGAACGAGTTTGGTTTTGTCACACC